ACATTTTTAAGCAAGACTGTTTATTGTTGCGGATGCGCTTCGTGGGGATCGGAATCAGCACCATCATATGCCTCTTCGTCCGAATCGAAGATACCGGGGAACATCATGTGTTCGGCCCTTGTGAAGGCACGATCATTATCCGAGTTCACTGGTGGACGAGGCGGCGGCCCCGCCGGCATATCGCATATCCTCATCTGGTTCAAGCATTGCGGCATCATCACTGGAAACGCGAGAGCGATCAGTGCTCATTGGCCTGGTGCAATGAAGACATCCGGTGGCAGACGAACCGCTGCGGCGGTTTTGCCGTCTGTCATCTGGAAAAACACACCAGAAAATGTTGCTGGGCGAAGCTTGTCCCAGGCAGCCTGGTGAGGTTGACAGACACTAAGAGTGTCACCGGGATGCTTCTTGTTCCAATAGATAAGAACTCCGTCCTTAGCACTTGAGAGTGTCTTGTGTACGCCTAAGGTACCGCGATAAACTGTATACTGCTCAAAGGCAGTGCCGGGAAGGAAACAAGTTCGGAGTTCGGAGATGTGTCACGTCTTTGACAAGTGCATCAAGGGAAAGCGAGGGCTTGGCATGATGCACCAGCAACTTTGTCTTGCTCGGCAGAGAATTTATTGTCGTGGCTAAAGACCTAACGTTATTATCCTGCAGAAGTTTGGATTCCTTGAGAGGATTATCTGAGAGGTAGGTAGGAGTATTCCTTGTCAATAAGCCTACGAGACATGAGTCTCCAGAGTACTGAAGCAGGTCAATGACAACTGAAAGGTGTGAAGCATACAGGTCTCTACCAAGAAACCTTGAGAGACACGCTGCGAAGATCTCACAGAGCGCGTACGGATAAACTTGGGAAAGTTTGGTCTTTGATCCGTAGCCGTGAACACCTGAAGCACTCTTGGGAGAGTGCTCTTGTTTCTTCGTGGTCTTGGCATTACGCTGAATCGGCAGTAGAACCTGCGGTAGCAGGTTGTGCATGAATTTGGCTGGTGGGGCACGGTAAAATCCAGTTGGATCATTCATGCCAATGGCTTGGAAATTGCAGACTTTGTACGGGACCCTGGGCTAAGAACAGCATGCGTTTGGCTTCCTGAGAGGACCATAGTCTGCTGTAGTATGGGTTCTCGAAAACAAAGTAGCGACCTGATCTTTGGTGATCTGCGATAGACCCTTTGCGAGAGCTGCCTCTCCAGTGGGAGTTCCAGTTAGACCACTGTGCTTGATCTGGTGACATAACAATAATAGACGGTTCTTGATCCTTGATTATCTGAAGAAGTTTTGCACGACTTTGGGGTCAAGACCACTACGAAGGTGTACAGGTTGGCCATCCTGAAAGCACGGCCTTTTGGCTTGGCCTCGAGGAACCACTGTAGAGTTCCAGGAAATCAATCTTACTTGTAGACGTCACTTGCCAGTGACACGCACTGGGTCCACTGGACGTCAGTGCTGCATCGAACGTCACCATACAGCTTGCATGGTCAGCTTGCATGGTCTGATTCTTCAGATGTCATAGCCTCCTTTGGAGGAGATAAAGCAATCTCAACATCTGATTTAACGCCGTAGTTCCTTCGTAGTTTCGAAATATTAACACGGACAATGCGTGTTCCTAAATCTACTCCGACCATGGAACCACCTAGCTCTGAAACAACCTTTCCCTTTACCCACGCTCCTTGTCGGGAGCCTGCAGAACCGACCTTAGAAGTTCTTAGAAGGGTCGACAGACCAGTAATATACCTTCTCACCCAGAAAGAAGCGTCCTTCAGACGTGGTGCCAAATCTGTTCTCAGATCATCTGATTGCCGGGCTTCTTGGTAAGCGACTTCACGGATAGCTCTGGCAGTAACCTCCGCATCTGTCGCGCTACCGGTAAGTTGGTATGGTTCAGAATTCTCAAGTGTGCGATCGTCACGCGGTCTCCGACCGAATGCAAGCTCGAGCGGCCTTACTCCTCCATAGATAACGGAAGAGTTTCTTGCCAAGCAAGCTTGGCGAACAATATTGCCGTATTTCATGACAATTCCATTCAAGGGTTCGTAACCTTCGTGGATAGTCTTAAGCTGAGCTAAGCTGATGTTTCAGCAACCTCACAGCAGCTTCTGCTCTGTTCGGCCAGGTCCTGTAGCGACAGTCTGCCAGCTGGCCCTTCTCTCGAAGAAGACGATGGTTCTGGAGCCGGGTGCTCACTTGACCCAAGTGGTTTGACACCAGCGCCCTCATCAGCTCCAGGAACCGGTTCACCTGCTGTTACAGGAACCTTGGGTTTAAAGGAAGCGCTGGCTTTTTTCGTCAAACTTCGAGAGGGTGCATCACCTTCTGTTGAAGGTTTCGAGCCACCTGCTGATGGTTCGGAGGATCCTTCTATAAAAGCTCTGATCCTTTGTACTTTCTGCAGCCAAGTTTGTAAGTGTGGGTCTTGTGTTTTCTTGAGCAGGCAAGACAACCAGGAGCATCAGGCGCGACCGTTGGGTCAGCGTTCTTTTCATCTCCGGCTGCATGTGCAGAAACTGTGGCTTCAAAAGAACAATTACTCGGATGATTCTTCTTCCGAGTGGAAGTAAAGCTGAGAAGGTTTAACACAAGATGATGATTCGTGCTGACAGGGAGTGCTGACTGGGAGCGGCAATTTGTACAGTCCAAAGGATTCACAAGAAGCTAGGTCTGCCGTTGGACTACATTCAAGAGTCATACGAAGATTCCGCATATGTTCAATGGAGAACAGAATAGGCACGCGACCTTGGTCAAGAACCTCAACCGTGGTGTCGCGTGGTGGCGTGGCTTTGAACCACAGCGTGACATTCTCCTTGATAAGCGCAGTCTCACTGTCAGCAAAAGAAAATTTTGTGTTGGAAGGTGAAAAAGTAAATTCAATCTTGCCGGGCGCGTAGCGCTCCACCGCCTTGACCAGTCTATTGACTGCAGAGCCCATGGCACGAGTGCATCCTGAGTCAAGAATGACGCATGTAGGGTTTCGGTCAAGATTGATACGTTCGGTAAGAGCACACAGCACAATATGCTGCATTGGAATACTGCTGTGGCAGTTTGAAATCCACGCTCTGCTTCCTGACCTGTTGTGACAGGTATCAGGGAATGGAAACTCTCGTAGGAGTCAGACACGGGATTTTTCCTGGGATTTGGACCTGTGCCTCTTCCCGATGATTGCTTTTGTTCTTTTTCCGTGTCCTTCGGTTAGAGGCAAATGTTGCATGCGAGTAAGACTGTTGTTCGTTGTATAAGGCATAGCTCCACCCTTGACCAGCATAGCAGTTGTCTTCGTGCCATTCATCCCAGTCCGGTGCGGTGGCTTCATAGGCTCCAGGGGAAGCGTTCGATTGATCCCCTGTGGAGGATGCAGCCTTGGACGAATCCTTTTGTTTTCCTTTCTTCGCTCCTTTAAAAGACTTTGCTTTGTCACCTTTGTCCTTTCCTTTTCCTTTGCCCTTGCCACCTTAATCCTTTCCTTTTCCTTTACCGTAGTACTGGGATCGGATGGATGCTGTTGACCATCTGCCTGGTTCTCCTCGCAGCGAAGGCGAAGGCCTCGCGTTCATCCGAAAACCTCCTCAAGGGTGTCCTTGTCCTGGAACAGTGGCAGCCAGTGCCTTCTGCTCCGTCATACTCGCATTGGTCCAGGATGAGCGGCGCATGTCTCTCCTTCCACGACGGTCCTTCTTGTGAGAAGAGCGCCGGATATTGGTTTTGAAGACCCGTCTTCGTTGTCGCGAACTGCTCAAACATGGTTTGGCGAACGACATTATACAAGTATGTTTCTATCCGGCAATTCATGTTTCTTTAGTGTTCATTCACATCGGACTGTACGAAGAATAAGAGAGACCGGAGATTGTCATTCAATGGGAAGGAACGCCTGTGGGCGTCTTCACGCGCACGGCTCCATTCTTGGAGTTGCATTTCAGCGTGTGTCGCCTGTTCCGTGGCGTCCTGTAAGTGCATGAAAGAAGCATCCTGCCGGCGGGCAACTGGCGAATTCTGGTGGGTCATCTGCCGGAGTTGCCTCCGGTAGAAGGTCCATCCAGGAGTTTCGCAACCTCTGCAGGACGATATCGAACTTGCCAATCCGTGTGACGACGTCTTGGTTGCCCTCCCATGCCTGGAATCTCCAAAGACAGACATACTGCTCACCCTTCACAAAGAAAGGTCGCATCTTCTGTAGAAGTTTTCCATTCCATCAATCCAACGTCGTAATGTGCACCAGTCATCAATAAGCTGTACATACTCAAACCACGAAGTGGTGCCATCAGCAGCAGGTGCTATTTTCGGTGTAATACCGAGATGGTTGAGCATTTTCTCGCTCGAGATCCCATATGCGTGGCTTGCGGCATAAGACGTTGGACCTTGAGAGGTCTCGTTCTCTGAGTATCCTCCGGATGAGTCACTGTTGGTGTCATCACTGGAGTGTGACGACATCGCACAACCTCGGCACACGCCTAGCGAAGCGACTAGCCGGAGCCAACTGCAGTGGCGGGGGCGAGCCCAACACGGGCTCCGCTGCCAGAAAACTGCCCCTGAATATCCGCCTTCGGTGAAAGCATATGGGTGCAGGTATCATCCCTGAAGATCTAAACGTCTAGGATATTTCCGTAAACACACCCCCGCTTCGGCAACCAGCGAAACAGAGTAGGTTGTGTCACAGTGCTGCTCCGCTAAAATGACTCAGGTACTGGTACTGCTTCTAACCAGTCAAGCTTCTTGGCTCGCATGGGCTATCCCAAACAGTTAAACACACACAAGCAACATGAATCCGACACTTAGTACCCACCACCGAATCCGGCTCCCTGCAGCCCAAGTCCAGTGACACCCGCTTGTGGGGTACCGTTTCGAGACCCAGTCCCTGAGCTGAAGACTCACAGACACATGCTGCCGCCACAGTCAGGCCGAGGCGGGCGGCGTAGCGTTAGAATTATTGCAGGGCAAACCGGCCCTCGGCCGAATATCAGCACAGTCAGTGTACGGATGCATAGCCAGGACTGACCCGGGGACACCTTGCGATACCGACTTGGAGACTGCGCTGATGGCGTCGTTGAAAGCTTCCTGCATCTTGCACAACTGCTGGACATACACTAGTGCTGCACAGCATGGCCTCATTGTCAGCGCATTCACCTCATTCCGACTCAGCATCTTGCCACGCACGCAACATGCTCTCCCACTAGGCTGCAGCACTGCTGCCCTTCCACAGCAGCACTTCATCCCACCTCCTGCCGCAAGCCCAAATGATGCAACTATGCAACAAGGATTCGCAGTTATTGCACGGTTGACGACGACGACGACGACGATGACAGCAATCAAGATTGGCGGTGTCCTTGGGAAGTAGCTGCCGCCCTGCCTAGCTCAGCGATGTGTTTCCAGCGCATGGCAGCAACAGATTCATTCAGGCTGCAACTCGATGACATGGAAGCCGAATCCACGAGAAGCTGGAATGTCGACCCCTTGGCCAGGGGTACACCGCGGACTGTATTCCCTACAACGCCTCTTCGCGAGCCCCATGCCAGACTGAAAGCGCATCTTTTCTGCGAGGAAGGGGGCAATTGCGGCGAACTGGACGCGGGGTTCCTGTGCCTCACGTGTCACTGCACTAGATAAGGGGGGCTTCTGGGCGTCCAAAGAACTGAGGGGCATGCCATAGCCTGAAAATCTTGCAGCCATGCAGTCATTCCCTCTTCTGGAACATGTGCCTCATGGGAGTCGGCTCACATGACATGCACTGCGTGCTGAGCTTTTCAACAGATGTGTCTGAAAGACCTAAGCTGGAAGATCGATCTGTCAGATTTGTTCCCCAAACAGCCTGGCAGCACTGTGGGGTTCTTGAAGGAAATATGTTTTCCTCTGCAAATTCTCATGCCGGAGTAAGGTCCAACCATTTCGCTACCACCATGAGTCCGTGTTTTGGAGTCTGGGGTGGAAATTGAGCTCGAGCTCCGTCCACAGGCGATTCATGCGCCGCAGAGCTGAGCGCATGTTGAGTGCGACTCTCCGCCTCCTAGACTCGTGTGCGCATATTCTACATAGCGGGATGGGCTGGGACTTGTGTTCCCGCCGCATTACCGCACGTCGTCTTGGTGGGCAATCGAGCTGCTGCAATGTTTTGGACTCTTAGGGCGTTGCTGGGAGAATCGAGGCTGTTCTTCAAGTGTTTTGATTTGTAGATGTAGGGCCTGGACTGCTAGCATAATATGCAGTTTCACGGCGTTGAGATGTACAACGGTGCCTTCCAAAACAGCATCTGTAAAGGGCCAACGCTGCCTATGTCTATTTCTCCCCATGTAGTGAAATACTGTTCACTCAACTCCACAAGATCCGCACAAGAATCAACGGCCAAAATAGCAGCACCGCTGGAGCCAACGCAATGAGTGAGTATATGCGTACCAAGTTTGGCCTCCAAAGTGCCTCCGAAGAATCCCAGCAAGGGCCTCATTCGAAACATGTCCGACAGACACATTGCCATTTCATCGAATCTGAAGCTGTCCTCAGCCTGGCGCCAGCCAAGACGCTGAACGAAAGGCCAAAAGAGGCGACATGAGTACGGAGGGTGCGTACCTCATCGCGAGTTGGTAAGGCAAAGCTGGCGTGCATGCGCAAGTGTTTGAGGAAGGCACAAAGAAGCAAATCCACCTGTGCTGTCGTAGAGTCTGGCACAAAGACAGGGCTGCAGTTGGCTCGCAAGACACAGCGGCCACAAGACCAAATCTTTCAGCAGACAAGTCCAAGCTGCTGCACCCTCCCAGGCACGATGTTTCTCTCACTTGCCACTAGCCGCCATGTACCGGGACCTGCCCCTGTGCCGCAAATCTGTTCAAGTTTAGTCAGTTTTGCCTTCTGAGCTGTGCACATCCGAACAACCTGATATTCATCTACGCATTTGCGGACCTGTGAAGCAGCATGTCTTTAGTCTCGAGCGATCGGACATCTTGGCAAAGACTAAGACGGCCACAACTCACCACGATTGTCGGGTTAGCGCAATGTGTGACTCGTGATGCCCCAAGTGATCACTCAGAGAAAAAGGAACGAGGCGGCCTCGATATGCCGTCGAGGAGTGAAGCTTTGCGATACCACACGATGATTGCTGAACTGTAGAGCTGACTGAAATCAAAAAGATTGACCGTGCGGGTCCAGCAACTCATCGTTTCTTGAGGCAGGAATGTGAGTCTCTTCCGCAGCAGGCCGCTTCAAATCGCATCAACACCTGCTCCCCCGGAATGAACAAGAATCTCGACGAATTGGTGCGTGCCCGGAGAATGCCAAGAGCGAAAAGGCGCAAAGCCGCACAGGGGCGTGCATGCGCCGGCGACAGACAGGCCCTGCCGAACCCAGCCCCGCCCTTAAATGCTGCGAGAAGGAAACAGATCCCTGGCCCAGTGCACGACGCGGAGTGAGCCTGTTTGTTGCTAAGACCCTTTCTGTCCACAAGCCACGTTGATCCCTTCAGGTGCGGCTCTCGTCAATGTATACATACATACATACATACATACATACATACAGACATACATACATACCCACGTGCATACATACATGCATACATGCATACATGCATACATATGCATACATATACATACATATACATACATATACATACATATACATACATATACATACATATATATATATACATACATATACATACGTATACATACATATACATGCATACACATACATATACATACATATAAATACATATACATGTATGTACATACATACATAAATACATAAATACATACATACTTACTTACATACACATGCATATGTATGTATATGTATGTATATGTATGTATATGTATGTAGATGTATGTATATGTATGCATATGTATGTATATGTATGTATATGTATGTATATGTATGTACATGTATGTAGATATATGTATATGTATGTATATGTATGTATATGTATGTATATGTATGTATATGTATGTATGCATGCATGCATGCATGTATGTATGTACGTATGTAGGTAGGTAGGTAGCGTGTGCATGGGTATGCATGGGCATGCATGCATACCTATATATGAGTATATGTAAAATATGACATATCATAACACATGTGTGCGCATAGATAGATTTGTAATGGATAGATAGATAGAGATAGAGATAGAGATAGAGATAGAGATAGAGATAGAGATAGAGATAGAGATAGAGATAGAGATAGAGATAGAGAGAGAGATAGAGA